TGTGATGTTTCTTGTATTATCTTGTGTGTTGGGGTTCTCTTCATTTTTTGAGTTATATTTGACATCCCAGAAGGAAAATATCAAGTTTTTTCTGAAACATTTCTCGTCATTACTTTACTCTTCTGTTGTCAGTGATCCTCTTGCTGTATACTTTAAATATTTCACTTTAAATATTTTTCTTTATTATTTCATGTTTTTTGATTCATAGATTGTTGAAAGAAAGACCACTCAGTTGCGGAGAAAATTATAACTTTCATTTGATATATATCGTCTTCAACCCTACGTGCCTACCTACCTACCTACCTACCTACCTACCTACCTACCTACCTACCTACCTGATTCTAAGTTCTAAATTTTCACGAAGCGAAAGTCTCAAGGAGAAGAAGATCAAGTTTTTTTTAAGTTTTTTTTTTGTTTCAATATGATGATGCGATTTTAGCAACGTGTAGGAGGTCTAGAGGGAGGGAGGGAGGTTAGCTTGGGGAGCTCGGCAATTCTAGAAGCTGGTGGATTTGATTCAATTTAGAAGGAGATTTTTTGAAGGAGATCTTTGTAGGAGATTTTGGAAGGAGATTTTGGAAGGAGATTTTGGAAGGAGATTTTGGAAGGATGACTGGTTGGCTTTTTTCTTTGTGTCTGTCTGTGTGTGTGTGTGTGTGGATGGATGGGTAGATGGTTTTGGTGGGTAGATGGGTAGATAGGTAGATGAGTAAAAGGGTGAATGGGTAGGTCGATGGATAGATGAATGAATGAATGAATGAATGAATAGATACAAAGGAGGTAAAAGGGGGTGAAACGAGGGGGTAGTGGGTTTACAAATGTATTCGTATTTTGATGGTTTAGATGGGTTTATAAAAGGGTGAGAGGAAAGGTGAGAGGAGGGGTGGTGGATTGATGTTGGATGTATAGTAGGTGGGTGGATGGATGGATGGATTATGATGTATTGTTGAGGAGAATCTTGGAAGAATCTTGGGTTTTTGAGGGGAGGGATGGTGATTTTGGGATGGGTTGGGATGGGATGAGATGGGATGGAATAGAATAGGGCAAAATAGGATTAATTAACTCGCATATGATCAAGGGGGGAGTTATATCTACAAGTCAATTGATAAATAGGTAGATAGATAAGATTGGATTTGCTCAGTGTTTATAATTTGATTTAATTCGATATAATTTGATATAATAACTACATTATCAATAATCAGAAGATCCACTCAAAAGAATACAAAGCTAGACTTACCTGATTTATTGAATGTTTCTCCCAACTCGAAATTCCTTTCTAATTGTGAGAAGAATGTATAGCTTTGGTAGGTAGGTAGGTAGGTAGGTAGATCTAGGCTGAGCTGAGCTGGTTGGATTAGGTTGGGTTGGGTTATATATCTATTGAGATTTGGAATATATATAAGATTTTGTGTATGTGTATGTATATGTTCTTTGTAATGGAGATGGAGATGGAGATTGATTGTACTTCTGTGGTAGATGAAGGCTTATTTAAAAAGTTTGGTGGAAAATGGATTGGAATGGGTGGGATGTGGGTAGGTTCATAGGGAGGGAGGGGGGTGGGTAGGTAGGATTTGATTATATACTGTTTGGTGCTGAAGGATGTGTATTTTTATTTTATTTTTATGTTCTTGATAATCTGTGATGTGTATGAGTATGTAATTATAGATAACTTTCTACATTGATATTGACTTGTGGGGTTTGATTTCGGCTGGGTTGATTATTCATTTTGGTGGGTTGAGAGGGAGGGGTATGGGATTGGGATGGGATGAGGTGGGAATGGAAAGGAGTGTTTGGTTTGGGATGGTGTAGAGGATGTGGAGGATGTGGAGGATGTGCTTTTATTTTATTGTGTGCATTGGAATGGAAGTAGATAATCAGTTTCGATTGTTGCTGTTATAGATAGATAGTTGGCTCTTATTGTTTGAGTTTTAAGTAGATATTGATTCTTGATTGTTTGGATTGGAAGTAGACAACCAGTATATCCATCAGGAGAAGCGAGAACCACGACCCATCCAAGATAAATCATCCAGAAGCGGTTGTGCGGCATTTCACAACGAGGTTTTCGATTCGGTACTGACTTCTTCAGTTTCAACTGCCTTAAAGTACGTCCTCGGACTATCTCTGTTCTGGTCACGCTGACCGTTCTTGCAGAATAAACTCGGTCGCCAACTCCTTACCAAATCTGCAATTGATAGCCGAAGTTGTGGAGAGTGAAGGATATGAAGGAGAGATCTCTACAAAAATTGCTATCCTTGACACAGGGATACATCCTTCGCGTACATTGCGCAACAAGATCCGCCATTGTCAAAATTTTGCGAGCCTTTCGATGAAGCTAGAGATGCCGAATCTACTTGGCATGGATCGAATATGGTTCACATACTACACACAGTAGCACCATCTGCTGAGATATATGTCGAAAAACTGAAGAAGTCAACGATGCTGTCTGCGTGGTCACAGTATGTCTTCGTCTCTGACTTTGCGGCATGGAGCTAATATGGCTAATGACGGGCATTTATATATGCTAGAGACATCTGGAAGGTGGAAATCATTTCGATGGCTTTTGAATTCAAGGATGAAAACACTGAAGTGCTAAATGCATCAATGATACCCATAAATACCATATTGATGTATGCTGCTGCATCAAGTCATGGTGTGAGTGAGGATCCTCCAATCATGTTTCTAGCTCGAGTGAAGAATCAAGTGATGTGTATCAATGCAGCAGATGGGGATGGTAGTTCTTCAGAGTGCAACGCTCGCCACACACAAGATGAGAAAACCTCACTATCTTAGGGAAGCTGTTCAGGGTATTTGTTTGCATTGTTATATTTTTGTTTATCTTGTCTTGCTATCGATCGTTTGTTTTAATCTGGAGATCAAGATTTCAATGGTTACTTTTGTCATCTATTCGGCGCATGTTTTCGATTTCGTCTCTTTACGCTAAGCGCATCTTCCTGTCTTTCTTGGTATATATTTGATGTCAGCTCATGATTTTAATACACAATACATGTGCCCCTGCAACATTCGAATTCTGATGTAGCATGGTTGGTGAACCAATAGTAATTAAAACGTTGCATACCCAGCAAATGGAACTGAGCAGGCGAAGGCGTATTTATATATCAGTTTGATAAGGGTGTATATAAGGATAGCGCGTGGAACAGAGGAGTGCGGGGCGATGACCTGAGATATTTTTTTCCTCAAAAGATTTTCAGTGAATGATTGGGTCAATTTATTTGATTTTCATTTGATTTTACATAGCACATGAGAGCTCTTCCAGTGTTATAGACCAAGTTAAGGGTGACAGGGGTTGAAAATTTGGCGGATGTATAAGGATCAGAAGTTCCAGGATCTCTAGTCATTAGGGGTGTTATACCATGGATGTACCACCCGCATATTCTCTACTTGTAGGACTTGTGGGTAAGAGTTGTGGTTTGCGGATACGATGTGAGAAGGATATTGGTGGCATGAAGGATGAGCTGCGGAAGAGTGGAAGGGGATAGATGGAGATAACAATGGAATTCTGTATGGTCGTCTTTGCTCTTGTTTGTTTCTATCATCTCTTGTTTTCATCGATTTACTAATGTTCCTAAAAATTACCATCGTTTTTCTACGTGTAGTCGTCTGATGTTTTCTTCGTCCCCATCGCTTAATATTTGAGTTCCCTTGTATTTTTGCGGAAACTAGTGGGCCTCTACATCCTCATTTTACCCAGCCCTTAACATTGGAGCTTCAAGCAGACAACTTCCGTGCGAGTACTATTTTTCTGTTTGTATGGTTGAAAGTTAAAAAGGAGATGAGGTATTGTTTATAATGGCTTCGAAGGTATTTGGGTATCAATGACAAGCGAGAGAGTGGGTGTTAAGCAAGGCGGGGTAAGGCTTGGAGATGAGGGGTCAAAGAGGAGTCGAAGGATAAATTAGTGAATGAACCTCCATTCCTTGCGCATGCGCAAGAATTCACATTATGTCGCGCATGGCCTAAGCTGAATCATCAACCAGAGAGGTTCTTGGGACGCAAGACAAGCTTACTTAAACCTTCAGGCATTCCCTAGTTTTTGAATCATCACGATCACAACTAAGATGTGGGCAGAGTATAATGGCTGCCTGTTTCTATTCGTGATAGAACTCTTGAAGTGACAAGGAACACAGATGTGGATTAAGAAGCAATAAGGAGGTAGCAGGACAAAAATGGAGATAAAACTATAGCTCTGGGACTCTGAGACTTCCATCATTGCCATTCATTTTGTATTTTGTTTTATCGTCATTAATCCCATCTATTCTATATTCACTGATTTCCATCCATACGATTCTAATCTTCGCTGTTGTTTGTTACCATTTTAAACCCCATCAGGTGCAAGATTGGAAAGAGGACGATATGGAAGGGCTAAATTGTTCTAGAACTTCTAGCCCGAATTACTTCAATAATTCGTTTGGATTCAATGTTTGTGTCTCATTGGCTCTGAAGAGTTTTCGTGTGAGACTTTTGGCAGGAGTCAACGGGCAGAGGAATATAATTTATAATGCCATTAGTGAGGTGAATGTGCTTGTTGATTCTGATCTTAACTTTGATGGACTACAGATGTACCCAGAGGGCATCAAACATGTATTTCCTACGTATTTTAGTGCTTGCGGAGACTGAGGTCCTTCAAGGTGAAGTCTTGACAAAACACAACTTTCTCCCCACTCTTAGGTAGGGCAGTAATGTATTGTAAAACTCTGTTTGCGTGGAGAAAGAAGGGGAATTGGTATGATAAGGCAGAGTAAGCCAAACAAAGGCAAAGAACTTTAGCAATTATCGCGTTGCATTGCTATTTCAAAATGAATGGCTAGGATCTCCGATCCAAAATCTTTCAATCACCTATCCAAGCTGTCCATATCTCATTGTCTCCAAAATTCATCATCAATTCCACCCCGCTGGCCAGAAAGAAAACAATCGGAACATCAAACAAGCTTTGATTAGCCTGCTAGACCAAAATTGATTTTGAATATCAACATCATCCTATCCTACTTCTTGTCTGTTCCAGCTTGACCGGCATTTCCACCACCAGTACCTTGACCTGCTGCGGCTCCACCAGCGTTTGCGTTTCGATCTCCGGATCCTTGAGCGCGCGCGGCAAATCCTGAAGAGGACATGTCTTTACCGCCTTGGGCCTGTTGTAAGATATGTTAGCTTGGGTTGCAGTGATATACTACGGAGAACTTTAGATAGAATACATAGGCAGAGAGGAAGAAAATAAGAAACGTACTTGAGTTGATTGGATACGTGAAGCATCACCTTTGGTCATTTTTGCGGGCATATTTACGAGTTTTTTGGGTTCTGTGATGAGTTAGAGGTTCAGGCTTGACTGTGTCAGTGAATGGTCAATAATCCTCTATAAACACAACGACTTTTCCAACAGGAATAAGAACATGATTTGCAGAATGAAAATGGTCAAAATGAGTTAGAAACCAGGAAGTGTGAGAATGAAGAACTAAATGCTCACAGTTTTAGGTGATTGTATACGTGCGTGTGTGTGTGTGTGTATTTATGTACGTATGTATTTATGCGGCTTCTGATAAAATGGCTTGATGAGGGAAAATATTTGAAAAGTGGAAGAATGGTCAACATATATCCTCAAACTAAGGACTTCAGGAGCAAGAGCTCCGCGATTCACATGCAAGAAAAAGAGCAAAGTGTATGAGAAGTATGTTGCCGATGATTTCATACATTTCAATTCATGCAGAGCGAATGAAAATCAACTACCCCGCCCGCCGCCTCTCTTCAAAAATTTGCAGGTAATCATAACGTATGATTCCATCGGTGGATGTTGCAACCCGTTTCACATTATCGGATCTTTATTGGGAAACATATAAGAGAATTGCGGTAAGTGTTGCTTACTTTACTGCATGCTTTTTGATTAGAAACCAAGCAAAGCTGTCGGCAGTTCCCAGAATTTGTTGTCCATTTGATGTAAATCCTTGCGGCCAAGTACTCCATGAGGCGTTATTCGGAGGTTGAGATATTCATTCAACCGAACAATTGATTAGTTGAATGGGTAAACTCCGTTTGCAAACGCGAAACGCCCAATGATCAATGATTTAAACGAGTGACCTCCATTCTTCCTGTCACTATACTTGATCCTGGTATCTGATCAATTTTCGACGAAAAATCAACGAGGGTGGTATTGGCATTATTTTTACTGAGCGCATTGCATATTCTGTGAGATGTTACTGATGACGATTAGTGAAATTAGTGGACGCGGGGTAATCATATGTGTCGTAAGATTGGGGCGACGACATGCAATGTTGATCAATATGATCCCACTAAATCGAGTTACGCACATATTGCGAAAGTGAGATGTTCTGAGCTCGGTCTTTTTGAGGTATATTCAAAAATGCGTGGATAGTTGGACCCCGAGGCGTTTGATCATTCGTTGTCATTCTGGGCCTTGTCCAAAACATTTCGCCCCGGAGTTCGTATGGATAGAAGGAATCCCAGGAGCTATCCGTGAATGCCCAAAGATATGATTATGAAAAAGAAAAGGTTTGCCTTTTAGAAAGACATATGCCGATCAATCCCATACACAGTGTTTATGCCTGGCCATATACATGTAGATTATGCAACTTGTGAAATGAAAGAAGGCATTGGAAAAGATACGATGAAATAAGAGCAAATGGGAAGTGAACATGCTGCAAGCCTCCATATAATGTCAAAAACTTCAGCCAGAAAGGAGTTCCACGAAGTTTGCCAATCTCTGGAAATTTCGAGTCAATAGTCTGCCAATTGCATGTCTGAACTTCGATTCATGCTCCTTATTTTTCTTCTCATGGAGTTTTGGCATGACTTGCGTTGAAAATTACGACGCTTTTACAGGTGTATAAGATAAGATACAAAAGGTGACAATGCCATAAAAATAGGATTATGCCACTCCAGTGGTATCCCAAGAGTAGAATCATTAAATCAATGCTAAGATCAAGCCCAAGACTCCCATGGCAGACGCAGGCCTGACTTTTCCAACACCCGAGTTTGCAGTTGGTGCAGTAGCACTCGCGGAACTAGTAGTAGATCCAGTGGCCGCGACAGGCCTCGAGCTTGAAGAACTTGGGGAAGAAGTAGCTGCGGCAGCACTAGAGGTCGTTCTTGTGTCTGAATGCGTCACGCTGCTACTAGAACTTCTAGTACTTGGTGATGTTGCAGACGCACCCTCGACTGTTGTTTGTGATCCATCTGGCCCTGTATAAACGCCATTATAGACATTTCCAGTGCCTCCTACGTCATCTGCATAGTCCCCTATAAAATTAGTTAGTTTCATTCGTTGATATGAATCTTGCAGAACATGGCATTTCCATGCCAGAGAGCTCACCTGTCTCTTCATTCAAACAGAACAATGATCCATCAGTATATTCGTAGCATGTCTCATCGTTATAACAAGAGAGAGTATCACGCGTCCTTAGAATCAACTCGTCCTCGTCATCGTCGTCGTCGCCGCCACAAGCAGATCCTCCAACAGCATTGCATTCACCTTGGCTTTGCATCTCATAGCATACCTGTAAAGCCTTTGGATTGTTTGCATATTCGGCACAAGGATCTGAAGAAGATGTGCCTGAAGAGCCATTTGTTGTCCCTCCTGTTGTACTACCACTTTCGGCCCAAGAAATTGCGTTCGACGTTGTACATGTGGTCGAAGCAGCCAGACTAAAAGGCGAGACGACAAATAACACTGTTATTATAGATAGAAACATGGTGATAAACGGAAATTATGATGGTCTTGATTTGAGCAGATGTAATTTGCTCCGAGAAAAACGAATAAAATCAGAAACAACAATTGAGAAAATGAGAATATGTGTAAGAAAGTGTTTTTCGAATTAAAGATGCACTTCTGAGAACTGAGGATGAGACCGCATTCTTAATTATCCATAATGGAGACCGACAACAATACATACATTCTTTTTAAGAAGCATGAAGACTATGCAAACAAGAAATTTATTGGTTTGTTTACGAGAGGCAAGCCATTTTCCATGATCGTGCACAATGATCCCGTAAAAGAACCTATCAATATTGGGGAATTCGGTTCAATGTGACAGTTTTTTCGCCGAGTGAACTTTTCTCTGCATATTTCACGGTGCCCGTATTGGAAATTCGCTTCTTGGCAACAGCTAGCTCGAGACTCCCAGAGTAGTCATTGGATTGAGATATCAACAAAGTTTCAGACTGCCTAGCTGTACTTGTGCACCTGGCAACAATTTATTGACTGTCAGGCTTCCAAACTTACACATAGATGGATATAAATAATCGAGCCGTAAATGTTCAACTATAGCGCCTCTTTTTTTATCGGCTGAATCGATTAGCTAGCGAGCTTCCACGAGCTACCGTCTGTGGTCTCGATCTGTCCCGCACTACTGAGGCTGAAAAGTTTAAGCTCAATATTAAAACTTGGCAATATAAACTAACTCTTTGAAATACGAGAGCCTGGCGAGCAAAGAGTATTCCCAAGGACGTGATTCGAAGAGCCTCCAAATAGGCTGGGATTGAATTGCACATGCGGTTTCCTTTGGTCGCCGCTACTTAACGTGCCGAATATACTCGGCAGTGCACAAATAAATAATTGGGATTGTGATGATAGAAATGAGGTGAACGCGATTTGTACGCGAAAGTCGGAGGATCACCATAAGAATTTATGGTGACTAAGCATCTCACATGAACACGCCACTTCTCTGATGTGGTTCAATGACTATTGTTCAAAACAACTTTTGTACCATTGTTCTTCATTGGCATTGCTCTACTTACAACAACAATAAGTATCGGTATTGGTATGCGACATGATACAACTATAATACCATAGCCCAACGGAATAGATAATGGAATTCGACCAATTCACCAGTTGACATCCGCTTTCTATACATCGCCCGCGTCGCGAGATCACAGACCTAAGCAAAATAATTAGAACTTTCCCCCTCTGCAAATCTGCCGAACGAGATCATCCGCCGAAATGAGAACATTTCGAACGAACAACAAAATGAGATTCCACAATGGGCTAGAAAGAATTGGTTGAGAGTCCTGGATGAATTATAACGAGAATGATTGTGAAGGGACAAACTCGAATGTGATACTGGAGAAAGCTGTTAAAAATGCACACAAGAAGTCTCTATCTACAAGCTAATGCTAGAGTCTCCTATTGTGAAGTTGCCGAATATTTGTAATGGTGAGGAGGCATAGATTCTTCTCCTTCAATGAGCGAACTTTACCACGAGTCTTCCATCTTCCCTCGACCTCTCAAGCTCCATTACATCATTACATCACAACATTACATAATTTACATTTGCCTGGCCGAACAAGGGAAATAGAGTTCGTTTCGGAACACTGAAAAGCTCTCCTATTTGCGAACCCCATTCCATTTTCCTAGGACCACACCAAGCAGGCTTCAAGTAAGAATATCATAGTTTTGTTCTGTGCTTTTTTCATCTCAGGGTTAGATCACTTCATTTTAAGTGTTTCAAGTAGCTGGACTATGGCCAAAATTGAGCCCTCATCTGCTGTCAGATTTCTGTTCTATCGATATTCAAATGGCTTGACGTGACGTTTCTACTATCTGCCATTTTGTCATACTTTTATGTAGTCTCATTCGGCCTCAAGAACTCTTGTGTCATGGCTTCCTGTGAGGCCTAGGATCTCTAACCTTCGAGGCATTCTTAGCTACCCGGCTATCCACCAAGAGCTTCAATGTTCCCATCATGAATTCACATCGCAAGAATGTAATATTGCGAATTTTGTTCCGGCAACAAATCAACCTGATTGGCCGGGATCGCGCCATATTTACATTACTACCCCAATTTCCATCCAAAATATCTAAATGAACCTTCGCAATGCTATTATATCAGTCTTCAATCCTCATCCTTTACCTTAACCAACCTCGTAACACTCGTTCCATCTCCCAAAATCCCCACTTCTTCCTCAACTCTATACCCACCCCACCGTGGCAATCCCCAGAACACTACCGCCCACCAGCCCACCCCAAAAAGAATGATCCCCACCCCCACAATAGCGTATGTCGCATACCAAAACTCCACGTCCGCGCTTCCCTTCGTCGGTTTAAAAAAGGGGCCCGCGATTAACGCCAAACAAACCGCTATCCTAATCCAAACAGCCGGCAACCATGCTTTGAAAGGTCTTTTCAAATCTGGTCGACTATAGCGAAGATAGATTAGTCCCAGAGAGAGAGCTAATGCTGCGAATTGGCCCGGATAACCTTCAACGTCTAGGATGAAGTTGTAGACATCACCTCGAGGAGGTATGGCAATCACGAGGAAGGAGGGAATGTAGTGAACTATTAGACCGCCGAGTGGTGCACCGAAGGGAGCTGAGGAGGAGAGGTACTTAGAGTAGGGGAGGAAACCTTGACGAGCTATTTCTTGGTTTACGCGGGCCTAGTGACGCAGGGTTAATTTGGGATTTGGGGAATAGTGTCTTATATATGGCGAAATGAATGATTCAAAACTTACGAGTGTAAAAGTAACAACCATGACATTTCCGGCCGCACTAACCGCCACAGCTAATGGCAATAAAATCCGTCCCCCTACATCACCAAAAATTCTCTCGAAAAATAACGCAGCAATAAGTTGTCCACTTTCTTTCACTTCCTCCAGTGGAATCACAGATAAATACGCAAAATTGGCTAATAGATATAACGAACAAGCTGTAAACAAGGCAGCCGGCGCAACAGTTTTCAACGTTCTGACCGGATCCTTAACCTCGTTAAGAACATTATTCAAATTGGACAATCCTGCATAAGAATACGAAACTTTGAAAACAGCAGTTGTCAAAGTTCCCCAATGCCAATTTGAACCAGTCCAAAGTCCATCCCAGGAGAATCCCATTCTGGATAGTGTAGGGACTTGAGTTCCTGTTTCCGGAAGCTTGACACCGAATGCCACGACGAATATTCCGGTCAGGGCCATGAAGAGGACTAGTGCTACTTTAATCCATCCTAAGAAGTTTTGAATCCATATTCCAGTTTTGAGAAAACATCCATGGACGATTGTTATCCAGGTTAGGAGTCCCAAGGCGATAGCTTTTTGCCCTAATTCCGTGCCCTCAATTCCAAAAGCAAAAAGCACATATTCGCCAAAAACAATACAGTTACTTGCTGTAAAACCTAGCAGTACTGCTTGCACAGCTACAAGCGTACTGGCAAGAAATCGAGGTCGTGGATAGGTAAACTCAAGGTATACTTTTTCGCCTCCGGATCTAGGAAGCATGCAACCATATTCTAGAGAAATTTGAAGACCGAGCCAAGCAAGGATCGAACCTGCAACCCAGAGAAGCAAGGCAAGACCGATACTACCGGTTGTTTTGAGGATAGGTCCCGGGGTTGCAAAAATTCCAGAACCGATTACTCGGGATATGACGAGTATGTAGGCGCTTGACCAGGACAGGTTACGAC